GATTATCATGCAAAATAGCTTCACTCCTCACCCCCTAAGCCCACAACTGCTGATCTTTCTACTGTCTCTATAGTTTTGCCTTTTCTAGAATGTTATGTAGTTGGAATTTCACAGTATGTGAATTTTTTTCTTTCTTTTCTTTTCTTTTTCTTTTTTTTTTTTTTTTTAGTATGTCGTCTTTTCATACTGGCCTCTTTCACCTAGCAGTATGCATTTAAGCTTCCTGCAGCCGGCACGGTGGCTCACAGCCAGGCACAGTGGCTCACGCCTATAATCGCAGCACTTTGGGAGGCCGAGGTGGCTGGATCACCTGAGGTGAAGAGTCAGGATCCGCCTGACCAACATGGTGAAACCCGGTCTCTACTAAAAAAAAAATACAAAAATTAGCCGGGCATGGTGGCATGTGCCTGTAATCCCAGCTACTCAGGAGGCAGAGGCAGGAGTATTACTTGAATCCAAGAGGCGGAGGTTGTGGTGAGCCAAGGTTGTGCCTGTGCCACTGCACTCCAGCCTGGGCAACAGAGCGAGACTCTGTCTAAAAGAAAAAAAAAGTTTCCTCTGTGTCATTTTGTGGCTTGATAGCTTATTGCTTTCTATTGCTGAAGAACATTCCATTGTCTGGATGGTCCACAGTTTGCTGATCCGTTCACCTGTTGAGGGATGTCTTGATTGCTTCCAGTTTGGGGCAGTTCTGAACAAAGCTGCTAGAAACATGTGTGTGCTGCAGGCTTTTGTGTGGACCAGAGTTTTCAGCTCAGTTGGGTGGATGCCTAGGCATGTAGTTGCTGGATCACATAAGATTTTATATATATAAATATAAATCATCACATAGATGCAGAAAAAATATTATATTTGGATTTGTAAGAAGCTGCCAGTGTGGACTTTTTTTTTTTTTTTGAGATGGAGTTTTGCCCTTGTCACCCAGTCTGGAGTGCAGTGGCACGATCTCGGCTCACTGCAACCACCGCCTCCCAGATTCAAGTGATTCTCCTGCTTCGGCTTCCCGAATAGCTGGGATTACAGGCACCTGCCACCATGCCCAGCTAATTTTTGTGTTTTTAGTAGAGACAGGGTTTCGCCATGTTAGCCAGGCTGGTCTTGAACTCCTGATGACAGGTGATCCGCCTGCATCATCCTCCCAAAATGCTGGCACAACAGGCATGAGCCACCATGCCTGGCTCATTTTTCAAAATCTTTATTTCTCCAAAGTATGCAACTTCCCAACTTTTCCTTCCTGGCTTTTGGCAAGTCAGTTGTTTGCCCCAGTCAATATGCTTTGCGCCAGGCTGCAGTGTCTAGTTCATTTGACTTTAATGGTTCCAACAAACGCTCTGCCCATAGCCACTGTGCACCCCAGAGAGCTCCCAGTTAGGCACAAAAAAGGCCAGACCTTTGCACTGGGCTTTCAGGGAGCCACGACAGGTCAGACAGACAGACAACCACTGTTCTTTGAAAACAGATCCTCTCTGTTCCCTCCAGCACCAGGAACCCACACCAGAAACATGGGCTGCTGCCTTCAAGACCACTGTTGAACCCGGGAGTAGGGGTGGGGCAGGGGTCTCTCCCACCAGGTTTCACTCACCCTTTTTTTTTTTTTGAGATGGAGTCATGCTCTGTTGCCCAGGCTGGAGTGCAGTGGCACAATCTCGGTTCACTACAACCTACACCTCCCAGGTTTAAGCAATTCTCCTGCCTCAGTGTCCCAAGTAGCTGGGACTGCAGGCGTGAGCTACCACGCCCGGCTAATTTTTATATTTTCAGTAGAGATGGGGTTTCACCATGTTGGCCAGGCTGGTCTCAAACTCCTGGCCTCAGGTGATCTCCTGACCTTGGCCTCCCAAACTGCTGGGATTACAGGTGTGAGCCACCGGGCCTAGCCTTCTTTTTTCTTTCTTTCTTTCTTTTTTTTTTTTTAACATCAGTCATCTTTTTCTTAGGATTTGCTTGGTTGCTATAAACCTTTGCTTTCCAGAGTTTTGATAAAGTTGATTTTTTTTTTTGGTGTTTCTATGGCAACATGTATGGGGAGTTTTAAAATTACTAATTCAGTCTTTTTCTTTCTTTTTGACATTGATTTTCACTCTGTCACCCAGGCTGGAGTGTGGTGGCACCATCTCGGCTTACCGAAACCTCTGCCTCCCCGGCTCAAGTGCTTCTCGTGCCTCAGCCTCCTGAGTAGCTCAGATTACAGGCACCCACCATCCCACCCAGCTAATTTTTTGTAGTTTCAGTAGAGATGAAACTACTATGTTGGCCAGGCTGGTCTCAAACTCTGGACCTCCAGTGATCCACCTGCCTTGGCCTCCCAAAGTGCTGGGATTACAGGCATGAACTACTGTGCCTGGCCCGGTCTTTTTCTCACAAGTCCATTCAGAAATTCTGTTTCTTACTTTGGGAGGCCAAGGCGGGTGGATCACGAGGTCAAGAGATCAAGACCATCCTGGTCAACATGGTGAAAGCCCATCTCTGCTAAAAATACAAAAAATTAGCTGGGCACGGTGGCGCGTGCCTGTAATGCCAGCTACTCGGGAGGCTGAGGCAGGAGAATTGCCTGAACCCAGGAGGTGGAGGTTGCGGTGAGCCAAGATCGCCCCATTGCACTCCAGCCTGGGTAACAAGAGCGAAACTCCGTCTCAAAAAAGAAAAGAAATTCTGTTTCTTGAGTCAGTTTTGGTAATTTGTATCTTTCTATCAATTTTCCCATTTTAATCTGTTATGTAATTTGTTGTATCCAATTTAAATAAGTAAGTTAATGTATCGAAGTTCTCTAACATGTTAATTATCCGAATACAGTTGTTTATAGTATTCTTTTATAACCCTTTTTATTTTGTCTAAGGTGATTCGTGATGTGTCTCCTTTAATTCCTAATTACAATCCTATGAGTCTTTTCTCTCTCTCTTTTCCTTACAGTATTTTAAAGCAAACCCTGCTCCCCTACCCCATTTTGGGGGAATGAATTCTACTAGTTTAGATGTTCCGTGGTTTATTTTTCTTCTCTGGGTGGTTATACTTAGATTCTTTTAGTGTGAAAACTTAAAAGTATGAAGTTATCATCACCTCTTCCTTTTTTCCAAATGACTCAAAACTTTTGGTAATTTTCTGGACCAAGGTCTATAAGGTAGATTCTTAGGCCTTGTGGGTAAAAGTCTATAAGCTCCCAGGCTGAAGTGATCCTCCTGCCTCAGCCTTCTGCATAGCTGGAACTATAGACAGATGCCACCACGCCTGGTGGTATTTAATTTATTAATAAAAATTAAATATTTTAATTTTTTGTAGAAGCCAGTCTTGCTGTGTTGCCCAAGCTGGTCTCATACTCTTGGCCTCAAGCAATCCTCCTTCCTCTGCCTCCCAAAGTGTTGGAGTTATAGGTGTGAGCCATGGCGCCCAGCCTCCTCCCTCCCTCCCTCATGCTTGCATGTTGAGCGCTGTGCTGGCTGACTTTTCCTCAGTCAGTTGATGATATCGTTATGTTCTATGCTTGTTTCTGTGGAGAAGTTTGCCATGAGGCTAACTGTCATTCTTTTGATAGACTTGCAGCGTGCTTGGCTTTGTCATTTTTCATTGTCCTGTTTTACTTTTTCTAGTTCTTGGGGTGCTTTTCTAGGGTTGCATGCAGTTTTTCATGTATTTACTTTTCTTGTGGATGGTTCAGCTCTTCCGGGGCCCCAGGCCTCCATGTCCTGGGAACTGGAGGCCCTGCTTCCGTTTCCCATGTGTCTATTGTCATCCCAGCTCCTAGCCTGCAGGGCAGCATTCTATAATACATAATATGAGCCATACAGAATTAAAAATTTCCCAGAAGCCACATTAAAAAGGTAAGCAGATGACATTAACTTTAATAACATGTTGCATTTAGCCCATTATATCGAACATATTATCATTCCAGGCCAGGCACGGTGGCTCATGCCTGTAATCCCAGCAATTTGGGAGGCTGAGGTGGGTGGATTACCTGAGGTCAGGAGTTTAAGACCAGCCTGGGCAACATGGTGAAACCCCATCTCCATTAAACATTTAAAAATTAGCTGGGTGTGGTGGTGTGTGCCTATAATCCCAGCTACTCAGGAGGCTGAGGCAGGAGAATCACTTGAACCTGGGAGGTGGAGGTTGCAGTGAGCTGAGATTGTGCCACTGCACTCCAGCCTGGGCAGCAGAGCAACACTCCATCTCAAAAAATAAAGAGAGAAAATTATATTATCATTCCACATTTAATCTGTATAGAAACTTATTAAATTTACATGTTTTTGTTACTGAGTCTTCCAAATCCAGGCTGTATTTTACACTCCCAGCATGTCTCAGTTTGGGGCAGTCACATTTCAAGAGCTTCACAGGGCCATGTGCATCGGGGTATGCCTATGATCCCAGCACTTTGGGAGGCCAAGGTGGGAGGATCGCTTGAGGCCAGGAATTCAAGACCAGCATGGGCAACAGAGTGAGACCCTGTATCTTAAAAAAAAAATTATCAATTTTTGATTTGATATCTGTAAAAATAACAAGAAAAAAGAATTATCAAGTACTTCATAGCCATATGGAACTAGTGGCCACCGTATCGGACAAATGGCTCTAGGCCCCGTATCTGATTCTGATTTTCCCCTGGGGCCTATGTGAGCTTACACCTTCAGCAATGAGCTGTCCTGTTGCTGCTGGCACTTGGGATTTTTTTTCCTGGTTTTGACCTAGGCTATGTGTTAAAAAATGATCTTTTGCCATACATGTCTATGTTTATAGCCGGAGCAAGAGGTCAGTTCAGTCCATCATGTCACTGGAAATACTTCTATTTATTCCTTACACCAACCTTGAGAAGGAGGTGCCTGTAGGCCCAATTTAAAGAGGAGGCCCCTGGGGCTCATGGAGCGTAAGTGACTTGCCCAAAGTCACATGGCTGTCATGTGGCAGAGAAGAGACCCAGAGCCATTCAGGTCTGCTTGAACTGCAAGTCCACGCTCTGCCCACCGTGCTGTTTTGCCCCCTCATAACCTACATTTTTCCTGCTTCGTTTTCAGGAATTAGTTGCCATCAAGGGCTCTCTCCTCCCTGTCTCCTTACGCGGTTCTGCTTATCTGGACAGTAGCGCTTGGCCAAGACCTGGCAGTGGAGAGCCATGGACCAGTGCAGCCTCGGGGACGAGGGCACCCTCCCATCAGAAAGGCACCTCCCTTCGTTTTCCGAGAGCCAAGGGCTCCGCTGCAGCGACACCCTCAGCCGGGATCTGGGTCCCAATCCTCGAGACCTGCTCTACGCTGGCCTGAGTGGTTTGGACTCGGACCCCAGCCTCCCAACGCCTGACAAGTGCAGTGAGGCACTCGAGGACAACTTAGACACCGTGTCCCTGTACTCGGGGAAGGACAGTGATTCTGTGAAGCTGCTGGAGGAGTATGCAGACTCGGAGTCTCAGGCATCCTTACAAGGTGAGGCTGTCACCTGGGCAGAAGGGCCCTGCAGGCTGTTGGGCCGTTTCTGTGTCAGGAGGGACTGATTCTGCGTGGACTGGTTAACAAAAGTTTTCCCTCCTACAGGTGATTTAGGGAACAGTCGCGTTTTTTTCCGCCTTGGGAATTATTCTCCAATTCTTTTTTTTTTTCTGGTGGAGTTTCACTCTCTCCCAGGCTGGAGGGCAGTGGTGCGAACTCAGTTCGCTACAACTTCTGGCTTCCAGGTTCAAGCAATTCTGCAGTCTCAGCCTCCTGAGAAGCTGGGATTACAGGCACCTGCCACCACGCCTGGCTAATTTTTGTGTTTTTAGTAGAGACAGGGTTTCACCATGTTGGCCAGGCTGGTCTCAAACTCCTGACCTCAAGTGATCCTCCCACCTCGGCCTCCCAGAGTGCTGGAATTATAGGCATGAGCCACCACACCCAGCCCCCAATTCTTAGTAAACGAAGCAAAACCCTCATTCTAGGGAATAATGTTCAGAAACTTAGGTATTTGGGGATATCCTTAACTTTTGTGTGGTGTGTGTGCAGATAGTAGCATTTACTGACGACTTTCCTTCCCATTCCCACATCCTAGAGGCTCATTCCGCTTTTCCAGAGGGAACTGGTGTCCTCTCCCTTCTGCTCCTGGGTTGTCAAGACCTTCCTAGAACCCAGTGTCTTCATCCATAGAGAAGGTGGACAATAATATCCTCTCTGCCTCCCGCTAGAGTTAAGCAAAAGAAGAAACTGTTGTAAACACTTCATAGACAAAAGCACTGGAGAGATATTCTGGGTTTTTTTTTTTTTGGAAACGGAGTCTCGCTCTGTTGCCCAGGCTAGAGCGCAGTGGCGCAATCTTGGCTCACTGCAACCTCAACCTCCCAGGCTCAAATGATTTTCCTGCCTCAGCGTCTCAAGTAGCTGGGATTACAGGCGCACACCACCATGCCCAGCTAATTTTTGTAGTTTTGGCAGAGACAAGGTTTCACCATGTTGGCCAGGCTGGTCCTGAACTCCTGACCTCAAATGATCCACCTGCCTTGGCCTCCCAAAGTGCTGGATTTCAGGTGTGAGCCACTGCGCCCGGTCCAGATATTAAGTTGTTTCAAACGTTTCACCAGGAAAAGCAATATGGCAGTTTATTCCCTTGCAGCTAGATCTGTGTACAAAGCTACGTTTATTACCTTATGCGAAAAACCCACAAATAGAATTGGCCGGGTGTGCGAAAGGATTTCCAGTTTTCCAAGGATTTGGAGAGTATATTTCTGATTGTCCTTCCAAGAGAACCGGTGATGGCATGGTCATAAAGCCCTGCCCGTTGTGGTCACGCTGCTCTGAGGGCTTTAGCCTGCCCCTCCACAAGTGGCACCAAGTCCAGGTGCCGTACTGCAGGGCTTCTGTTCCCCTCGCCCGCTCCTGACCCTCGTTTCCTTTGTGTGGAAAGCTGCTGAGGTCGGAGCAAGGGTTCTTGCGAGACATTACAAGGCCACCATGGTTCTAAGAGGTGTGGAGTGCCTTGGCCCGCTTTTTGCTTCATTGCCCCGGCTGCGTATAACCTGTGCTTCCTCCCTCTGTTTAGACCTGGGCCTGGGCGCGCTGAAGGCTAAAGAGGCTGATGACAGAGCAAGGGCCACCTCGGGGAGTGCCAGGAAAGGAAAGCGGCAGCACAGTTCCCCTCAACACCCGCTCCTGGACTGCAGCCTGTGCGGGAAGCTGTTCGGCAGCGCCAGCTCTCTGAGCAAGCACTACCTGACGCACAGTCAGGAGAGGAAGCACGTCTGCAAAATCTGCAGCAAGGCCTTTAAGCGCCAGGACCACCTGTACGTAGGAGTCGGGTCAGAAACACGCCTGCTCAGGGCCTGGGGGTGGGGACATGTTCCTGAGTCTTCTTCCTGTCCTCCCAGATCAACCTGCTCGTCCTTTGTTGGGTTTTCCAGACATGTATAACCTCTGCTCAGCCACAGCCACTTTTTTTTTTTTTTTTTTGAGACGAAGTCTCACTCTGTCACCCAGGCTGAAATGCAGCGCAATCTCTGCTCACTGCAACCTCTGCCTCCCGGGTTCAAGCAATTCTCCTGCCTCAGCCTCTGAGTAGCTGAGATTACAGGTGCCCGCAACCATGCCCAGGTAATTTTTGTATTATTTTTAGTAGAGACGGGGTTTCACCATGTTGGCCAGGCTGGTCTTCAACTCCTGACCTCAAGTGATCCACCGTCCTCGGCCTCCCAAAGTGCTGGGATTACAGGCATGAGCCACCTCGCCCAGCCCCCTGCGTTCTTCTCACATGGGAGTTGCCCCAGCAGATCACTCTTCCCAGCCCCTAAATTCACACCTGTGAGGAAGCCGCTGCTCCTGTTTGCAGAAGGGCCCCTTGTGGGTTAAAAACGCCTAACCCACAGGTTGTCTCCTGAGGCAATTGTGTCCTGGGAGGAGTTGGGCTAACTTTATAGAGTCATGTCCTGAGTCTCCGGTAGGTGACTAGGAAAACAGGTCTGCATTCCGCATGTGGTGGGATAGCATGGGAAACGTAAGATGAGATGCCGGGCCGGGCGCGGTGGCTCAAGCCTGTAATCCCAGCACTTTGGGAGGCCGAGGCGGGTGGATCACGAGGTCGGCAGATTGAGATCATCCTGGTCAACATGGTGAAACCCCGTCTCTACTAAAAATTACAAAAAATTAGCTGGGCACGGTGGCCCGTGCCTGTAATCCCAGCTACTCAGGAGGCTGAGGCAGGAGAATTGCCTGAACCCAGGGGGCGGAGGTTGCGGTGAGCCGAGATTGCGCCATTGCACTCCAGCCTGGGTAACAAGAGCGAAACTCTGTCTCAAAAAAAAAAAATAAATAAAAGATGAGATGCCTGCCTCCAGAATACGGCAATGGAGCATTAACCCTTGTTTTGTTTTTTCTTTTTTAAAAAAACTCGTTCTGTTCCTTTTACACTTTGACTTAAAAAGTATCAGAAGCAAAATTTCCTTTTTTTCTTTTTTTTTTTTTGAGACAGTCTCACTTTGTCACCCAGGCTGGAGTGCAGTGGTGTGATCGAAGCTGACTGCAGCTCCGCCTTCCCAGTTTAAGCGATTCTCCTGCCTCAGCCTCTTGAGTAGCTGGCACTGCAGGCATGCACTACCACACCCGGCTAATTTTTGTATTTTTAGTAGAGTTGGGGGGTTTCACCATGTTGGCCAGGGGTCTAGAACTCTTGGCCTCAAGTGGTCCACCCAACTCGGCCTCCCAAAGTGGTGGGATTACAGGCATAAGCCACCACTTCATGTCTTGGAAATCTGTGGAGGAAGGAAAGAGACTTTTTTCAAACCAGGACACCTGCAAGTGAGAGATGAAAATGCCATGCATTCTTACTGGGCCCCTCCCTTTCGCAGGGGGCTTTGACTAATCCATCTTATCTTACCCTCTCACCCACACTCACCCCAGGAAAAGGAGCTGATTTGCTCATGTCACAAGTTGGTAACAGCTGGGGTAGAACTTAGGTCTCCTGATTCTATCTCTGTTGCTTCCCTCAGACAGAGGCCGAGGGTGAGCTTTTGGGGAAAGACTCTATGGTTTCCTCCATGTTGACTAGGACTGTCTAGAGTAGGGCTGTGGGGGGCCCAGAGGGTGAGGCACTCCTCTGCTTATGTTTATAATGTGTTCACGCAGAGGTAGGTGTGACATATTTACATGCATTTCTGTTTGCAGAAACTATAGGCACATTTGGCTGTTTGGCTCTATGAAGTTTCAATGGATTGGGCCTCTGTAAATTGACTCCTTTGCTGTGGGAGGTTCCAGGTAGCATCTTCTTAGGGGTCTCCTACAGTAAGGCACAGACTCCTTAGTTAAAGGAAGGATCGCCCTCAAGTTAGCTTCTCCTCCAGTCTATTCTGCAGAATTCTGGTTCTCAGGAATGCTTTTAGGGGCTTTTTGAAAATAAAACCAAAAACAGTTCTCTGGGCAAATAAGTTTGAGAGACACTGAAAGTTAAACAGGTCTCTCTCTATGTGGCTTTTAAATTTGCAACTGTGGGCTGGGTGCAGTGGCTCACGCCTGTAATCTCAACACTTTGGGAGGGTGAGGTGGGCAGATCACTTGAGGTCAGGAGTTCAAGACCAGCCTGGCCAACATGGCGAAACCCTGTCTCTACTAAAAATACAAAAATTAGCTGGGTGTGGTGGTGCGAACCTGTAGTCCCAGCTACTCAAGAGGCTGAGACACAAGTATCTCTTGAACCTGGGAGGTGGAGCTTGCAGTGAGCCAAGATCATGCTACTGCCCTCCAGCCTGGGCAACAGAGCAAGCCTCCATCTCAAAAACAAAAAATTAACTAATTAATGAATTAAATTTGCTGCTGTGCATTGTGAACTTCCAAGCAGTGAATGGTGTTTTTCAAAACTTATTATTCAGCTGTGCCCAGAGGCCCTGAGGAGCAACTCTGGAGCTTTGTGTCTTCCGGGAACCCACTCTGGCAAAGTCTAATCTGGCCTCAGTGGATTTTTAAATCATTCTTTAAATTTTTATTTATTTGTTTGTTTTTATTGAGATAGAGTCTTGCTCTGTTGCCCAGGCTGGAGTGCAGTGGCATGATCTTGGCTCACTGCAACTTTCACCTTCTGGGTTCAAGTGATTCTCCTGCCTCAGCCTCCCCAGTAGCTGGGATTACAGGCATGTGCTACCACACCCAGCTAATTTTTTGTATTTTTGGTGGACAGGTTTTATCATGTTGGTCAAGCTGGTCTCAAACTCCTGATCTCAGGTGATCCACCCACCTCAGCCTCCCAAAGTGCTGGGGTTACAGGCATGAGCCACTGAGCCCCGCTGGATTTTTTTTTTACTTTTCTGTAAGGGCTTTGCTTAAAGGTGAGGGAGAGGAGCTCTCCTGCCAGGTGGCTTTGACAGAAGCAGGGTTTGCCAGGTGGTCTTTCCTCTTGGGGGCTGAGTACAATTTCTGCATTGTGGTGCAAAAGCACCACAGACTATCGGGGCCACCGGGGTCCTACGGGAGAAAGCGCAGTCCCAGGCAACCCGCTGACGCCCCTACTTGTGTCTGGCTCCAGGACCGGGCACATGCTCACCCACCAGAAGACGAAGCCCTTCGTGTGCATCGAGCAGGGCTGCAGCAAGAGCTACTGCGACTACCGCTCTCTGCGCCGGCACTACGAGGTTCAGCACGGCCTGTGCATCTTGAAGGAAGCCCCCCCGGAGGAGGAGGCCTGCGGGGACTACTCCCACACCCACGAGTCTGCTGTCCAGCCGCCCCCCAGCAGTCTGCGGTCCGTGGTGCCCCCGGAGGCCAGGTCCCCCGGCTCCCTCCTGCCCCACCGGGACCTCCTGCGCCGCATCGTGAGCAGCATCGTCCACCAGAAGACCCCTTCTCCTGGCCCGGCCCCGGCGGGGGCTTCAGACAGCGAAGGGAAGAACACGGCCTGTCCCTGCCCCGCCTCATCAGGGTCTTCCTCCTGCACCTCAGCCGACCCCACCGAGGCCCCTGCAGAGCTGGACACCAAGCTTCCGGAGGAGCCTTGCCTACCGCAGAAGGAGCCGGCCGCTGACGTGTTCACCGCCCCTAATTCCATGGCAGCTGAGAACTGCGCCCCCGACCCGCCGGAGCCAGATCCCGCGCTGCTCCAGGCCCTGTACTCCGCGGAGGGCTGGCCGGAGGGCGGTTCCATGCCTGCCAGCCTGCCTCTCTTCCGAGGCCAGACGGTCCCTGCCAGTTCCCAGTCGTCGAGCCACGGCTTCCAGTGGCTCCGGAACCTGCCGGGCTGCCCCAAAAGCAAAGGCAACAATGTGTTTGTTGTCCACAAGCCCCCCGCCATGCTGTCACAGGAAGGCTCCGAGTCTGGCCCAGGGCCCAGCAGCGCCGCCCCCTCGGAAGAGCCCCCGCCTGGCCCCAGTGGCTGCCTGGAGGATGCGCTGCCCTTTCTTCCCGCGATCCTGAAGGCCTCCGGGGAGGCCCCGAGCGACCCCAGGCCTGCCAGCGGGGAAGAGGACCCCTGGGCCCCCAAGAAGAGCAAGTTCGACTGCGACTCCTTCCTGTGCCAGAACCCCGGGGAGTCCGGTCCCCTGGAGGCCCAGACGCCAGGGGGGCTCCCCGCGGATGCCACGCCGTTCTTCCGCCAGCTCTTCCTCAAGTCGCCGGAGCCTCTGGTGAGCCACGAGCAGATGCAGGTGTTCCAGATGATTACCAAGTCCCAGCGGATCTTCTCCCACGCCCAGGTGGCAGCAGCCTCCTCCCAGCTCCCCGCGCCCGAGGGCAAGCCGGCCGCTCTGAAGCCGCTGCAGGGGCCATGGCCGCATCAGCCCCCTCCGCTGACTCCTGCTGTGGACTCTGTCCACACCGGCCCTGAAAACCCGGAGGCAGAGGGCTCCCCAGCCCGCAGGAGGAAAACCACGCCCGGAGTTCCCAGAGAGGCCTCCCCCGGCAGCACGAGACGAGACGCAAAGGGGGGACTGAAAGTGGCCCCGGTTCCAACGTCCTTTGCAGTGGCGTCTCTGGACCCTTCCAGGAATCCGGAAATCTCTTCTCTGGCCAAGCACTTGCGATCCTCGAAAAGGACCTTGGACCTGGAGGACATCTTCTCCTCCACAGGCCAACGGCAGACCCAGTTAGGTGGGGAGGAGCCACCGGGAGCCCCGATGCACGGGAAGCAGGCCCCTGCCGAGAATGGCACAGCGTCAGGGACCACGAAAGGTGAGAAGGGCCCAGCCGGCTCCCGGGGCGGAAGCTACAGGCTGCTGGGCAACCCCAGAGCCCAGCGATTCTCCGGGTTCCGGAAGGAGAAGGTGAAGATGGATATGTGCTCTGCGGCTTCTCCGAGCCAGGTAGCCATGGCCTCCTTCTCGTCGGCCGGGCCTCCGGCAGATGCCTCCCGAGACTCCACGTCCAAGCTGACAATATTCAGCAGAATCCAGGTACCCGCTCTCTCTCTCACGTGGCCTAAGCAGAGTGGTGTGAGTTTTCTCTGCATTTGTTAGTTGTCCACGCATTTTATTTCATCGAAGTGAATCCCTAGATGCAATTTTATGGAGGAAGAAATTCGAGAAATTGTGGTTTCCCCCACTAAAAAAAAAAAACCAAAAAACAAAAAAACAGACCAGAATGAGGCCAGGTGAGGTGGCTTACACCTGTAATCCCAGCCCTTTGGGAGGCTCAACTGGGAAGACATCTTGAGCTCAGGTGTTTGAGACCAGCCTGGGCAACATGGCAAAACCCCATCTCTACCAAAATTTTTAAAAATTAGCTGGGCGGTGGTGCATACCTGTGGTTCCAGCTACTAGGGAGGCTGAGGTGGGAGAATCGCTTGAACCTGGGAGGTGGAGGTTTCACTGAGCTGAGATCTCGCCAGTGCACTCCAGCCTGAGCGAAAGAGTGAGACCCTGTCTCAAAAATAATAATAATAATAAATGAGGATATTCCAGAGTTGTTGGAAACACTATCTCGCTAAGCCTTTTTTGCTTGTTTTTTTTTTTTTCTCTCGTTTCCCTTGCCTTGGATTTGCCTTTTTAGACACTTCAGAGGATATGAAGGTAGATGCCCTCCTTCCTTTAAATATCCCTGCTTGAAATGGCCATATGTTTTCTGATTGTGTGTCATGGTTTCCACGAGCACAAGTGGGTGCCTGCTGCATACCCCGCACTTCAGCACATTGATAATCATGCACAGCTTCCTCCAGACACTATGCTTGGAAGGCCTGGTCTGAAGAGCTCGGTCAGGACTCCAGACTCCAGGTTTCGCCTGGGCAACATGGCAAAACACCGTCTCTACCAAAAATTTAAACAATCAGCTGGGCATGGTGGCACTCCCCTGTGGCCCCAGGTACTTGGGAGGCTGAGTGGCTTCCCATCACACCAGAGCTGCCTTATTTTCCTTTTATTAGCAGCTTTATTATTCAGGTGCCATAAAATGCACCATTTAATTTTTTTAGAGATGGGGAGTCTCGCTATGTTTCCCAGCCTGGTCTTGAACCCTTCGGCTCAAGCAATCCTCTCATCTTGGCCTTCTAAATTGTTGGGATTACAGGCATGAGCCACCGTACCCGGCCAAATACAACATTTTATTGTATTTTTTAAAATTATTTATTTATTTGAGATGGAGTCTTACTCTGTCACCCAGGCTGGAGTGCAGTGGCGCAATCTCAGCTCACTGCGACCTCTGCCTCCTGGGTTCAAGCGATTCTTCACCTCAGCCTCCTGAGTAGCTGGGATTACAGGTGCCCACCACCAAGCCTGGCTAATTTTTTTTTTTTTTTTTTTTTTGAGTCGGAGTTTCGCTCTTGTTACCCAGGCTGGAGTGCAGTGGTGCGATCTCGGCTCACCGCAACCTCCACCTCCTGGGTTCAAGCAATTCTCCTGCCTCAGCCTCCTGAGTAGCTGGGACTACAGGCACGCACCACCATGCCCAGCTAATTTTTTGTATTTTTAGTAGAGATGGGGTTTCACCATGTTGACCAGGATGGTCTCGATCTCTTGACCTCGTGATCCACCCGCCTCGGCCTCCCAAAGTGCTGGGATTATAGGCGTGAGCCACCGCGCCCGGCCCTAATTTTTGTATTTTTAAGAGATATGGGGTTTCACCATCTTGGCCAGGCTGGTCTTGAACTCTTGACCTTGTGATCCACCTGCCTTGGCCTCCCAAAGTGCTGGGATTACAGGCGTGAGCCACCTCACCCAACGTGAATACACCATTTTAAAGCATAGCATTGAGTAATTTGTAGTATATTCACAAGATTGTGCGGCCCTCACCACTCTTTCCAGGACAGTTTCATCTCCCCAACAGGAACCCCACATTTCTTAGTTGTCACCCATAATCTCACCCTCCACCCAGCCCCTGGCAGCCATGAGTCCCCTTTCTGTGTCTGTGGGTGTGACTGTTCTGGATGTTGCATGTGAGTGGAATCATGCACTCTATGGCTTTTGCGTCTGGCTTCCTTCACTCGGTCTGACATTTTCCAGGCTCATCCGAGGGGTGGCAAGCGGCAGAGCTGCGTTCCTTTCCATGGCTGAGTGATGCTGCTGGATGGATAAGCCCACATTGGATTTGTCTGTTCATCAGTGGGTGGACGTTTGGGTTGTTTCCACTTTTTGGCTATTTTGAATATAGTGCTGCTGTGATGTTCACTCGTGTACACATTTGGGTGGGGATTTGTGCTCTAGGAGTAGAATCGCCAGGTCTTACAGCAGCTCTGTCTTAGGTCTGAGGAACCACTAGGCTGTTTTGCTGAGCAGCTGCACCATTTCAGCTTCCCACCCCCAGAGTGTGAGGGCTCCACATTCTCCACGTCCTCACCAACACTTGTTATTGTCTGTGGTTTTTTTTTTTTTTTTTCTGAGACAGAATCTCACTCTGTCACCAGGTTGGAGTGCAGCGGTGCAATCTCAGCTCACTGCAACCTCTGCCTCCCGGGTTCAAGCGATTCTCCTGCCTCGGCCTCCTGTTTTTGTTTTTTTTTTTAATTATAACTATCCTGATGGGTGTGAAGTGGTGTCTTGTTGTGGTTTGGGTTTGTATTTGCCCGAGGCTGATGATGTCGAACACCTTTCTGGGTGCTTATTAGCCATCTGTGTATCTTCCTAAAAGAAATGTCTCTTCATGGGCCAGACACGGTGGCTCATGCCTGTAATCCCAGCACTTTAGGAGGCCAAGGCGGGTGGATCACGAGGTCAAGAGATCGAGACCATCCTGGTCAACATGGTGAAACCCCGTCTCTACTAAAAATACAAAAAAAATTAGCTGGGCATGGTGGCACGTGCCTGTAATCCCAGCTACTCAGCAGGCTGAGGCGGGAGAATTGCCTGAACCCAGGAGGCGGAGGTTGCAGTGTGCCGAGATCGTGCCATTGCACTCTAGTCTGGGCAACAAAGCGAAACTCCATCTCAAAAAAAAAAAAGAAATGTCTCTTCAGATCCTTGGCTTATTTTTTTAAAATCAAGTTACTATTTTTTGAGTTCGTATATTCTGGATACAAGCCCCTTATCTGACACATGACTTGCAAATATTCTCTCATTTTGTGGGCTGTCTTTTCATTTTATTTATGGTACCATTTGCAGGACGAAAGTGGTTTGGTTTTGTTTTTTTTTTTGAGACAGGGTCTCACTCTGTCACTCAGGCTGGAATGAAGTTGTGTGATCATGGCTCACTGCAACCTTGAACTCCTGGGCTCAAGTGATTCTCCTACCTCAGCCTTCTGCGTCACTGGGATCACAGGCCCAGGCCACTATGCCCAGCTAATTTTTGTATTTTTTGTAGAGATGGGGTTTGGTTTCACCATATTGCCCAGGATGGTCTCAAACTCCTGGACTGAAGCGATCCTCCCACTTCGGCTTCCCAAAGTCCTGGAATCACAGGCATGAGCCACGATGCCTGGCTAAGAGAGTTAAAGTCTGATGAAGTCGAATTTGTCTGTTCTGCTTTCATGTCTTATCTAAGAAACCACTGTCTACTCCAAGGTCATTAAAGATTTACTCCGATGTTTTCTTCTAAGAGTCTGTAATTTGAGCTCTCCTTGCCTCTTCATTTCTGATGTGTTGCTTCAGATGCATTTTTATCTTCAGGGTGGAAACATCTACAGGCTTCCCCATCCAGTGAAGGAAGAGAACGTGGTAGGTGGAGGGTAAGTTAAGAAGCCCCCCACCTCCTGCATGTGCTCTGACAAGAGTCCTCTGGCTTTCCTGTGCTGGCCAGGATAAGTGAGTGGGGAGGATGCTTTCAGTCTTAATGGGATTAGGGTACAGCCTCCATTTTTTAGGGTTTTTCAAGAGTAGTCAGGCTGGATGCAATGGCTCATGTCTGTAATCCCAGCACTTTGGGAGGCCGAGGCGGGCAGATCACTTGAGGTCGGGGTTCAAGACCAGCATGGCCAACATGGTGAAACTCTGTCTCTACTAAAAATACAAAAATTAGCCAGGCGTGTTGGCACAAACCCGTAATCTTAGCTACTTGGGAGGCTGAGGCATGAAAATCACTTGAACCCAGGAGGCAGAGGTCACAGTGAGCTGAGATCATGCCACTACGTTCCAGCCTGGGCAATAGAGCAAGACTACCTCTCCAAAAAAAAAAAAAAGGAGTAGTCAGTGGATTGGAGTTATAGACAAAAAAGAAAGAAAACAAAAACTCAGTGATCAACGGCAGAGTCCCAATCTCCCACTCTTTTCTCCTGCCGTGTCTGCCCACATTAGCCAGCACAACGGTGGTCCCATGGACTGCACGGAGCCGAGCAGCACTTACGTCTGCAAGAACTGCAGCCAGATGTTTTATACGGAGAAAGGGCTGAGCAGCCACATGTGTTTCCACAGCGACCAGTGGCCATCACCTCGAGGGAAGCAGGAACCGCAGGTGAAGGGGCATGACCAGTGGCTTTGTGATTACTGGGTTTCTGGCAGGCCTGTGGGGCGTCAACGAGACTGGTGTCACACATCTCAGGATGGGGCCGTCGCGCTGGGTGGAGGGCTGGAGTCAGGCTGTGTGGCTCTCCAGGGGCAGGCCATTGCCGTGGGCTGCAGCAGCTCTGCAGCTCAGGCCATGCCCCAGACTCACTGCTGTTTTCTATGGCAGCTTTTTCTGAAGCAGCTCTTCCTTTCCCCACCTACCTGTCTCTTAAAGAGCCATCTTTTCTCTCTGTATTTAGGTGTTTGGCACAGAGTTTTGCAATCCCCTAAGACAGGTGCTGAGGCCAGAAGGGGACGGGCACAGTCCCTCAGAACCCAAGAAGCCCTTGGACCCCATGGCTGCAGCCCCTTTGGTGGTCCCCCTATCAGTCCCTGAGGTTCCAGTGACCCGACACATAGGGAGCATGGCCATGGTGGGCGCTTGTCGGTCTGCCTTCTTCCTGCCACTGCCCCCTCTGCTGGGGGAAGCTGTAGGAAAAGCCTAAACCAGACACCACAGAAAATCTTGACTCCAAGACAGGCGTGGTGGCTCACACCTGTAATCCCAGCACTTTGGGAGGTTGAGGTGGGCAGATCGCCTGAGCTCAGGAGTTCAAAACCAGCCTGGGCAACATGATGAAACCCCGTCTCTACTAAAAATACAAAAAAATTAGCCAGGCGTGGTGGTGGGCACCTGTAAACTCAGCTACTCAAGAGGCTGAGGCCCGAGAATCACTTGAACCCAAGAAGCCTCTGCAGTGAGCCAAGATCGCATCACTGCACTGCAGCCTGGGCAACAGTGAGACTCTGTCTCAAAAAAAAGAGGAAAATCTTGATCCAGAAGAAGCTGGTTTGCACGTTAATTCAGTCATTCAGCATTCACTGAGCCCCTCTGTGCCAGGCCCTGTGCTGGGTGGTACTGGGGACACAGAGGTGACCACAATAGCCTGGGCCCTGCCTCCCAGGGCTCCCAGTCCAGTGGAGGAGACAGGCCTGTACCCAGACCGTGATAACCCAGAGTAGGCAGGGCTGGGAGTAGAGGGAGCCCAGAGAGTTCCAGGGGGCTCCTGAACCAGCCTGAGGAGGTAAGGGGGGGGCTTCCTGGAGGAGGCAGTATGGGAGCTGAGACCTGAAGGAGGAGGAGGAGTAGGGCTGGCAGAGCAGAGGGATTCTGTGGAGGTGAGAGAAAGCGTGGTGAGTTATAAGTGATTGGTCTCAAAGGGCTTGTCTCTGCAGCCTGTACTGAAGGACCCCACCTGGAGAAGCTCCTGCTCAACTTGGGAACAGAGTCCATGGACCTGAAGGTCCCCTGAGTCAGTGGCTGGGTCATTTGGGTGCTTGTCATTTGGGTGGAGCAGCATTTCTTTCTTGCCAGCATCACACTGTATCTTTAGGGATATCTCCCTGTTTAAGGGCCAGTCATCTTAACGGTTGAGGCCGTCCTCACACACAGTCAGAGGCTCTCCTGGGGCATCCAGATCATGGCCAGACTCAGTGCCTCAGGTCTGGCCCAGGTGTGGCTGGCCTCCTTTGCGGAGGGCTCGGTGGGGGGGTGGCCACGCCGGGCACGTGTGTCCTAGTTTCCTCTCTCCGGCCAGTCTCCTGTTCCCACTTTCATCCCATCCTGGAGATAGAGTGGTGCAGTAGGTGGCTTCAGGTGGCCACCTGTGGTTCTATACTCTCTCCTTCTTCTTCAGGGACAAGAGAAAGACGGGGAGGAGCAAGACAGCAAGGAGAGCAGCCAGCAGAGGAAGCGGAAAAAGCGGCCCCCACCCAAGTCACTGTTCATCCCTGCTCTGCCCTCCACGGCTGGGGAACCCGGCCCTGCAGGATGCCACCAGAGCCGCCTGCAGTCACCCGTGTTCCTGGTGGACCACCTCCTGAAGGGCTTATTTCAGTGCTCCCCCTACACACCACCCCCAATGCTCAGCCCCATCCGGGGGGGCTCTGGGCTATACTTCAACACCCTCTGTTCCACGTCCACTCAGGCCAGCCCTGACCAGCTTCTCAGCTCCATGCTCGGTGAGTGAGGCTGGGCACTCTGTGATCCCGGGGTGAATTGCCTGTGGACCATGCCCACTCTCCGTTGTAGCATGTGGTTCAGGGATTGTCGCCCACCCGGGTGTACCTAGTCTGAGGGACCCTTTGCTATTCAGACATGCCCCAGACTGATCTAAGTGCCTTCTAGTGCTTAGAATTTTATGGCCAGAAAAAAATGTAGAGGCCATTTAGCCTGACCATGCTTCTGCCTGCCCTTCTGTGTCATTTTCTTTTTCTTTTCTTTTCTTTGAGACAGAGTCTTGCTCTGTCACCAGGCTGGAGTGCAGTGGCATGATCTCAGCTCACTTGCAACCTCTGCCTCCTGGGTTCAAGCAATTCTCCTGCCTCAGCCCCCCGAGTAGCTGGGACTACAGGTGTCTGCCAACACACCCAGCTAATTTTTATATTTTTAGTAGAGATGGGGTTTCACTGTGTTGGCCAGGATGGTCTTGAGCTCTTGACCTCAGGATCTGCCTGCCTCGGACTCCCAAAGTGCTGGGATTACAGGCATGAACCTCCTCACCCAGCCTTCTTTTTCTTTTTTGAGGCAAGGTCTCACTCTGTCACCCAGGCTGGAGTGCACTGATGCGATCACAGCTCACTGCAGCCTCAGTCTCCTGATCTCAAGCGATCCTCCAGCCTCAGACTCCCAGTACCTGTGATTACAGGTATGCATCACCACAACTGGCTAATTACTCTAGGCTGGTCTCAAGCTCCTGGACTCATGCGATTTTGCATCCTTGGTCTCCGAAAATACTGGCAGTAAATGTGTGAGCCACTGTGTCCAGCCTGTGTCATTTTTTTTTTTTTAAATGGAGTCTCACTCTGTCACCCAGGCTGGAGTGGAGTGGCATGATCTCGGCTCACTGCAGCCTCCACCTCCCGGGTTCAAGCAATTCTTCTGCTTCAGCCACCCAAGTAGCTGGGACTAGAGGCGTCCATCACCACGCCTGACTAATTTTTATATTTTTAGTAGAGATGGGGTTTCACCGTGCTGGCCAGGCTGGTCTCCAGCTCCTGGCCTTCAGTGATCCATGTGCCCAGCCTCCCAAAGTGCTGGTATTACAGGCGTGAGCACCACGCCCAGCCTGGCCTGTGTCATTTTCTTCACAGCTTTATTGAGCTGTACTTCACGTATCTTGCGAATCACCCATCTAGCGTGTGCAGTGTTTTTTAGGATATTCACAAGGCCGTGCACCCATCACACAGTCTAATTTTAATTTTTTTCTTTATTTTTGTTGCTCTGTTTGCTTCCACACAGCCTAATTTTCAGCACACTTAGCATCCCCAGAGAAGCCGGAGCTCATTAGCAGTGACTGCCCATATCCCCACAGTCCCTTGTTCCCCAGTCTGGGCACCCACTTGTCTGCCTTCTCTCTTTGGATTTGCCTGTTCAGGACATTTCATATAAGCAGAATTGTACAATATGCAGCCTTTTGTGTCTAGTGTGTTTCACCTGGTATCATGTTTTCAGGGTTCCTTCATATTGTAGTGTGTATTAGTGCTCAGTTCCTTTGTATGGCTGAACATGTTTTTTTGCACAGATGGGCCACATTTTTTTATTCATCAGTTGACAGACATTTGGGTTGTTTCCACTTGGGCCTATTATGAATAATGCTGCCATGAACATTTGTGTAGAAATTTTTTGGGTTTTTTGGGAGAGAGGGTCTCACTCTGTCACCCAGGCTGGAGTACAGTGGTGCAATCACAGCTCACTGCAACCTCAACCTCCTGGGCTCAACTGACCTTCCTGCTTCAGCCTCCAGAATAGCTGGACCTACACGCACAGGCACGTGCCCCCAGCCCGGCTAATTTTTTGTAGTTGTTTTTTAATAGAGAAGGGGTCTTGCCATGTTGCCCAGACTGGTCTCATACTCTGGGGTGGGCCTGATGTGGTGGCTCATACCTGTAATCCTAGCATTTAGGGAGGTTGGGGCAGGTGGATTACCTGAGGTCAGGAGTTCAAGACCAGCCTGGCCAACATGGCAAAACCCCATCTCTACTATAAACAGAACAATTAGCCAGGCATGGCAGCAGGTGCCTATAATCCCAGCTACTCAAGAGGCTGAGGCAGGAGAATCACTTGAATTTGGGGCAGAGGTTGCAGTGAACTGAGATCGTGCCACTTCACTTCAGCCTAGGTGAAAGAACGAAACTCGGTCTCAAAAAAAAAAAAATGAACTGAGGTGAAACAGCCCTCCAGCATTGGCCTTCCAATGTGCTGGGATTGTAGGCCTGAGCCACCACCGCCGGCCTTATGTACAGGTTTTTGTGTGGATTTATGTTCTCAGCTCTCTTGGGTGGATATCTAGGAAGTGGATATCTAGGAATGGAATGCTGGGTCGTATGGTAACTCCGTATTTAACTGTTTATGAACTGCCAGATTGTTTTCCAAAATGGCTGGGCCACTTTCAATTTCCTGTTTTCTAAATACTAGCAGTATATGAGCATCTTAATTTCTCCTCATTTTAACCAACACTTGTTATTGTCTGTCTTTTTTAGTATAACCGTCCTACTAGATGTGAAGTGGTCCATTTGGAGGACAAACTTTTTCAATTTCCATGAAGTGTAATTTTTAATTTCCATGAAGTCCAATTTTAATTTCCACGAAGTCTTGTGGTATTATATATTATGTGTAAAGATTTGCGTGACCCAAGGTCATGAAGAGTTACTCCTGTTTCCTTCTAAGAGTTTTGCAATTTTGACTCTTATACTTAGGTCTGTATTCATTCTGAAGATAACGTTTGTATCTCACATGAGATAAAGGTCCACATTCATTTTTTTGCATGTATATATCCAGTTCTTCCAGCAGCATTTTTTGAAGACTTCCCATTGAATTGACGCAGTACAATTCAGTGTTAGAAATCAATTGACTATACACGTGTGGGTTTATTTCTGGGTGTTCAGCTCTTTTTTTTTTTTTGAGATGGAGTATTGCTGTGTGGCCAGGCTGGAGTGCAGTGGCGCAATCTCGGCTCACTGCAACCTCTGCCTTCTGGGTTCAAGCAATTCTTCCGCCTTGTAGCTGGGACCACAGGCACGTGCCACCATGCCCGGCTATTTTTTGTATTTTTAGTAGAGACGGGGTTTCACCATGTTGACCAGGATGGTCTCGATCTCTTGACCTCGTGATCCACCTGCCTCAGCCTCCCAAAGTGCTGGGATTACAGGCATGAGCCACTGCGCCCGCCCCTGGGTGTTCAGTTCTATTGCATGGATCTGTATGCTTATCCTTATGCCAGTATCACACTGTTTTGATCACAGTAGTGGCTTGTAAGTTCTGGGGTTTTTTGGTGATTTTGAAGGGTTTTTGTTTTTGTTTTTGTTTTGAGACAGAGTCTCGCTCTGTTGCCCAGGCTGGAGTACAGTGGCATGATCTTGGCTCGCTGCAGCCTCTAATGCCTGAGTTCAAGCAGTCCTCCCACCTCAGCCTCCTGAGGTACTGGGATTACAGGAGTGCACCACCATGCCAGGCTAATTTTCGTATTTTTAATAGAGACGGGGTTTCATTATGTTGGCCAGGCTGGTCTCAAACTCCTGACATCAGGTGATCTGTCCGCCTTATCCTCTCAAAGTGCTGGGATTACAGGTGTGGCCGCCGTGCCCAGGCTATTTCTTTAGATATTTCTTTCTGTGCCTTTCTCCTTTCCATCTGCTACTCCTGTTACATGTAGTTGCTGTACTTAATGAATCCCACATTTCTCTGAGGCTGTCTTTATTTCACTTCATTCCTTTTCTTTCTTCTTCGGATTCCATGGTCTCTACTGCTCTGTCTTCAAGTTGGCTATTTTCTTCCTGCCAACTCAAACCTATGGAGCCCCATTTTGGTTATTCTACTTTTTTTTCTCAATGGCTTCACTTGCCAGTATTTTGCTTTCTAACCCAGAATTCCCATTTAGTTCTCTCTTTTTAATAATTTCTATTCTCTTTTTTTGAGACCGAGTTTCGCTCTTGTTACCCAGGCTGGAGTGCAATGGCGCGATCTTAGCTCACTGCAACCTCCACCTCCTGGGTTCAGGCAATTCTCCTGCCTCAGCCTCCTGAGTAGCTGGGATTACAGGCACGCACCACCAGGCCCAGATAATTTTTTGTATTTTTAGTAGAGACGGGGTTTCACCATGTTTGTTGACAGGATGGTCTCGATCTCTTAACCTCGTGATCCATCCGCCTCGGCCTCTCAAAGTGCTGGGATTACAGGCGTGAGCCACTGGGCCCGGCTAATAATTTGTATTCTTAATGATATTCTGTCTGTGATGAGAAATTGTCCTTATGCCTTCCTTTACTTTTTTTTTTGAGACAGAGTTTCACTGTTGTTACCCAGACTGGAGTGCAATGGCACGATCTCGGCTCACCGTAACCTCCGCCTCCTGGGTTCAAGCAATTCTCCTGCCTCAGCCTCCCGAGTAGCTGGGATTACAGGCGCGCACCACCATGCCCAGCTAATTTTTGTATTTTTAGTAGAGACGGGGTTTCACCTCGTTGACCAGGATGGTCTCGATCTCTTGACCTCGTGATCCACCCACCTCAGCCTCCCAAAGTGCTGGGATTATAGGCCTGAGCCACCGCGCCCAGCCGCCTTCTTTACTTCTTTAAGCATGGGAGCTGAGGGAGAGGCAGCCTGGGCTGCACCTACCTGGGTTAGAACCCTCAGAGCTGGGAGCTGGCTGGGTCAAGGAGCAGGTCACAGCTCAGATGCAGCAGCCTCTTGTTGTTTTATAAATATTTAGTTGATTTTTTATTTTTTTGAGATGGAATCTCACTGTGTTGCCCAGTCTAGAGTGCACTGCTACAATCTCAGCTCACTGCAACCTCTGCTTCCTGGGTTCAAACGATTCTCCTGCCTCAGCCTCCCAAGTAGCTGGGATTACAGGCACCCACCACCATGCCCGGCCAATTTTTCTATTTTTGGTAGAGATGGGATTTTGCCATGTTGGCTAGGCTAGTCTTGAACTCCTGACCTCAAGTGATCTGCCCACCTCAGCATCCCAAAGTGCTGGGATTACAGACGTGAGCCACTGTGCCTGGCCTAGTTGATATTTTTTAAGTATTTGAAAATGAATATTTCTCCAAGTGCTGAATGACCTTAGGACAATTTCCAGAGACTTTAGCATGTTGTTTTTATATATACGTATACTCGTCATGAGTTAATTTGTTTGCTGAGTTCCTCCCTCTACCTTTTCAGAAACGCTACCCTTTCCCATGGGATCTTAAAGAGCCTGCTCTCAGCTGCATCCAACAGGCAGGCAGGGGGCCCTGTGGGTTACCTGCTGTCAGTCTTCTTGACCTTTTTACTCTGTGTTTCTAGATCAAGTGGATGGGTCTTTTGGCATCTGTGTGGTGAAGGATGACACCAAGATCAGCATTGAGCCGTAAGTTGGGTCCTTTCCAGTGAAGCTGCTTTTTACCCCACCTCGAGTTCTAGGGTTCATTTTCCCAAGGGTTCCTCTTCCCATGGGGGTTTCAAATTTATCCATAAAGGCTCCCTAGGTGTGAAGCCGAAGATTTTTCCAAGTATCCGTAGGAAGATCCCCAATATTCCTCCTAGAAGTTCAGCTGCATATATGGTTGGGCACATGGGGACAGAATGCCCCGGGCCTTGGGGTTCCAGATAGAATAGGTGATGGCACAGAGCAAGGCATGAGCGTGCCTGGGGGATGTGGTGTGGATATGGACACATGCCGGCTGTCAGCTTGCACCTCCCCTGCCTTGACCCTGAGAGAGAAACGTGGCGGTGAGGAAAGCAGAGGAAGGGAGGAAGTATCCCTGCAGAAGTGTCTGAGATGCCTGCGTGCATCTGTCAGGGGCAGGACATACCTGATGCACCTGAGAGACAGCAGAGGGCTTCCACGGAGCAGGCTGTGGCCCAAGAGCAGGGCGCACAGAGCGTCTCCATTTCACTCCCCACCTCAGTCACATTTGGATGTCTCCCATATCTGTGCATGTGGCCTCATTTCAGACACATCAATATAGGAAGCCGGTTTCAGGCAGAAATCCCGGAACTCCAGGAGAGATCCCTGGCTGGAATTGACGAGCATGTAGCTTCTCTGGTCTGGAAGCCATGGGGAGATATGATGACCAACCCAGAGACACAGGATAGAGGTGGCTGAGGCTTCGAGGCTAAGTTCCTAAGGGCCCTTCTTCCCCCTCCATTTCCAGGGAGTTTTTCTTCCTGGGTCTGGAACTCCTGACTGCTGGGTATAAGAAGCAGTGCCCCTGGGTGTGGGAGGGAGCTGGCCCTTGGCCAGCATTGCTTCTTCCAGGCTGCCTTCTCCCTCCCCTACCTCTTCTGTCATATGGTAGCTGGTCAGGCCATCCAGAGCAGGTGTCGGGGACAGGGTTCTGCTGTTCCTCCTCATCTGTCCCTTTCCCCGGCCTGCCCTCCCTGGAACCTGCTGACTCCCGTGGGCCTCTTCTTCCTCATACCCTTTTTGGAAACAGTGACCGAGCTCTGCAACGTGGCGTGCTCCAGCGTGATGCCAGGAGGGGGCACCAACCTGGAGCTCGCTCTGCACTGCCTGCACGAGGCCCAGGGTGACGTTCAGGTGAGGCACAGCCAGGGGACCCTCCCTGCTCTCCTGGGGCCCGGGGTTCCAGGTGCATCTGCTTGGGGGTTCAGAGCAGATGGAAGCTGGAAGAAGACCGCCCATCCTCTTCCCCAGTGGCTTTGGGATTGCAGTGGTCCTTATGCACTGACTGTAGGGGAATACTAAGACACGGGCCCAATTCACAGCCACTTGTCCAGGGCAACAACCAAGCTGCTCTGTTGCAGGGGCTCCTCTGAGATAACAGGGGCACTGGAGAAGGGAAGCCCCAGAGGCCAGCTCAGGACCCGCATTCATCTACTTCATTCCTTGGGATTTGGCTTTCGATCAAGCACTCACATGTACAAACCTCTGATGCAATATAAATGGCTCTGCCTACGCCAAAGACCCTCCTCACAATTCTGGGTGTTAAAAAGTAAATCAAAAGTCTAACTGTGAAGAGTGGGAGAGGAAGGGCCACATAGCCTGTGTTATCTAAGAGCTAACAGTCATGACATAGTCTTGCATTTCCCCAAGCTGAGGTAGTATCTGGCATATAGCAGGTCCTCAGCAGAGCGGGAATACATATTTATTGGGTACCTGCTGGGTGCCTGTACTGTAGGCACTGGAGCCAGGGCTGGCTGAGGGGCTCCATGCTAGCTTTAATGCTCTGTTGTCTCTGTCTTCAAATTCTTGGCCAGTGTGATGGCTCATGCCTGTAATCCCAGCACTTTGGGAGGCTAAGCTGGGTGGATCACGAGGCCAGGAGTGCAAGACCACCCTGGCCAACTTGGTGAAACCCCGTCTTTACTAAATATACAAAAATTAGCTGGGTGTCGTGGCGTGTGCATGTAGTCCCAGCTACTCAGGAGGTTTAGGCAGGAGAGTCACTTGAACCTGGGAGGTGGAATCAAGATCACGTCACGATCTTGACTCACTGCACTCCAGCCTGGGTGACAAAAGCAAGACTTTATCTCAAAAAAATAAATAACTAAAATAAATAAATAAAAATTAGCCAGGCATAGTGGTGGGCACCTGTAATCCCAGCTACTCAGGAGGCTGAGGCAGGAGAATTGCTTGAACCTGGGAGATGGAAGTTGCGGTGAGCCAAGATTGTGCCATTGCACTCCAGCATGGGTGAAAAATCTTAATAGTTTTTATTTTTTTATTTATTTTTTTTACAAATTCTTGTGTCGAGGGCTGACTTTCAATAGATTGCAGCAAGGGAGCTGCTCTGTTGCACACGAAACCCCAACCCAGAAGCAGATTGCCTGCAAATGGTTTAGTGCCAGGTTCCCCACGAACGTGCGTTGTGTGACAGGCGAGGAATAGGTTTTAAACAAGGAGGCCTGCATCTTCATTTTGCACTGGGCCCCACAAATTATTCAAACCCTGCAATGATGGTTTACACTAGTGATCAAGATAAAATCCCTGCTCTCGTGGGGCTTATATTTTAGGAAAGTCAAAAGGAAATCTAGTTTTAAAAATTGTTAGCTAGGCTGGACACATGGCTCACCTGTAATCCCAGCACTTTGGGAAGCCAAGGAAGGCAGATCACCTGAGGTCGTGAGTAAGACCAGGCTGGCCAACATGGTAAAATCCTGTTTCTACTATAAATTAAAAAAAAAAAAAATTAGCAGGGAGTGGTGGCAGGTGCCTGTAGTCCCAGTCCCAGCTACTCAGGAGGCTGAGGCAAGAGAATGGCTTGAACTGGGGGGCAGAGGCTGCAGTGAGCCAAGATCATGCCACTGGACTCCAGCCTGGGTGACAGAGCAAGACTCTGTCTCAAAAAAAAGAAATTTGTTAGCTAGTTGGGTCCAGTGGTGCCCACCTGTGTTCCTGGCTATTCAGGAGGAAGGGGCTGAAGGAGCCCAGGAATTAGAGCTCACCTGGACAACATGGTGAGACCTCATCTTTAAAAATTTTTCAAAATAATGTTTTTAATCGTTAGCTAATGACTGGTGCTATGAAGAAAACAAAATGGGGCCCAAGGTAAGGGTCGTGCTCCTCAAAATGCCAGTCCCTGAGGGAATAAGGAGCTTGTGCCAAAATAAATCCACACGCTGTCTCCTTCATCAGGATAGGCTTGCTGTGCAAAAATAACCTCAGCGGCACTCGGTGGTGTGCCTGGTGACAGTTGATGCACCCACAGACAGTTCACAGGCTGGCAGCCCGTCCAGGGCCACTTTGAAGAGCCCTGGGACGGGCAGTGACTTTAGGACAGCTGCAAGTGTTTTTCAGATGAACGGGAGGACACCGGTGGTCCTTGTCCCCAGCCGGCCCTGGGCAGCCTGCCGCTCCTCTTGTTCCAGGTTGCCCTGGAGACTCTCCTGCTCCGAGGGCCCCACAAGCCGCGGACGCACCTGCTCGCTGACTATCGCTACACAGGTGATGGGGAAAGGCTGCCGGGCTGGTTCGGCCCAGCTGAGACCCCTGTGAACCACCGGCTCTGTTATAAGCTCTGCCTCTGCCTCCCGGAGTTCTCTTCCAGGCCTCTGCCTGCCTCTCAGGAGGGCCTGAATAATTCAGGATAATTCAGTGGGCGCCCCGTTCTGCTAATGGGGTCCTGCTTCACCCTGTCCCAGTGGTTGCCTTACAGACTCTGTCTAGCCAGAAGGGAAATGATCCAGGCCAGCGGGAGGGGAGATGGGCTGAGGTTCGGTGGGTGAACCCATCAGCCCTGGACACAGGCTGCCTGGGGCCCCCACCTGCCTTTAGCAAGCAACTGAAGCCTCCGTTGTCACATCTGTTAAGTGGAACTAGTAGTGGTCCCTCTCTTCTGGAAACTGTTGGAGTTTTTTATTCGATTGGCACATAATTGGTGCTCAGTAATGGTGGGTATAAAAGGGAAGGTGGTCTGCATTTTGGCCATGGCTGTGGTCCCAGGACAAATGGCCTCCCCGCTGTTGGCTGTGTTCTTTGATAGGTTCAGACGTCTGGACCCCTATAGAGAAGAGGCTTTTTAAGAAGGCGTTCTGTGCCCACAAGAAGGACTTCTACTTGATACACAAGACGGTAAAGTTATGTGGGCAGGTGTCCCGGGCCTGGCCCAACAGAGCTGAGACCAGCTAGAGCTGCAGGGCTGGTCGGGGGGTCCGAGGGCCCCACCTTTACCTGTCTGTGGCAGCGCTCTTGCTGTAGACAGTTGACAATGTCCAGAAGCTGTCCTTGTGAACAGCTCCAAATGGCTCCCGCCTGCATCACCTGCAGAGAAGAGTCCCCTGTGCCCCTCCCCAAGGTTTTACTTCTGCTTGGTGGCCTCCATTACCTTTTTGGCCAAGCACATACAGACATTTCTGTCTGTGCAAATTTTATATAAATATGTATGCATGTACTTTAAAAAAGGTAAGAGCTGGCCATGGTGGCTTATGCCTGTAATCCCAGCACTTTGGGAGGCCAAGGCAGGAGGTCAGGAATTTGAGACCAGCCTGGCCAACATGGTGAAACCCCATTTCTACTAAAAATATAAAAAATAAGCCAGGTGTGGTGACATGTGCCTGTAATCCCAGCTACTTGGGAGGCTGAGGTAGGAGAATCATTTGAACCTGGGAGGTGGAGGTTGCAGTGAGTAGGGATTGCACCACTGCACTCCAGCCTGGGAAACAGAGTGAGACTGTGTCTCAAAAATAAGGATGAGGTCGGGAACGGTGACTCACATCTAATATCCTAGCACTTTGGGAGGCCAAGGTGAGAGGATTGCTTGAGCCTAGGAGTTCAAGACCTGCCTGGGCAATATAGTGAGACCTTGTCTCTACAAAAAAATTAAAAACTAGCCTAGCATGGTGACGCATGCCTATGGTCCCAGTTACTCGGGAGGCTAAGGTGGGAAGATTGCTTGAGCCTGGGAGGTGAAGGCTGCAATGAGCCAAGATTGCACCACTGCACTCCAGCCAGGGTGACAGAATGAGATCCTATTCCCCGAAAAAAACAAAGGATGAGATCTCACTGCATGTAATGTCCTGCTGCTTATTTTCTGTTAAAAAAAATAACTTAGACACAAAATTGCATATAATTGAAGTATAAGAGTTGCCAAGTTTTAACATATTGATACACCTGGAACTGTCACCACAGTTAAGACAACGAGCATGCACCTCAGCCCTGTATCTCCTCCTGCCCCATGGTAATCACTCCTCATCGCTCCCCTACCCCCAGTCAGCACTGATCTGCCATCACTGTAAATTCATTTCATTTCCTAGAGTTTGCTATACATGGAGTAGTCACACAGTATGGACTCTGCTTGCTCTAGCTTCTTGCACTCAGCATCATGATTTTGAGGTCATCCATGTTGCATGTACTGATAGATCTCACTTTTTCACTGCCGAATAATATTCCACTGGATGGACATACCACAGTTTATGTAATCATTTGCCTGTTGGTGGACATTTGAGTGGTTTCCAGTTTTGGGTGAATTGTAAGCATTCAGGTACAAGTCTTGGTATGGACATGTACTTTGTTTTCTAGAGGAGTCAATACCTAGGATGGAATGATTTAGTGGGTGGATGTTTAACTTTTTAAGAAACTGCCAAGCAATTTTCCAAAGTTGTTGTAGCATTTCACATACCCACCGGCAGGAAACGAGATCTCTTAGTTGCTCCGCAACCTTGCTAGCCCTGGGTCGGCCCAGTCCTTTTACTTTTTATTTTTTATTTTTCTATTTTTGGGCCAGTCCTTTAATTCCAGCCATTCTCATGACAGTGTGGTGGCATTGCATTGTGCTTCCTTCATGACTGACGATGCTGAGCCTCTTTCCATGGACCTGTTTGCTGTCTGTGTGCCGCCTTTGGTGATGTGTCTGTTCACATCTCTTGCATATGTTTTCATTGGGGTGTCTGTGTTTTGTTTTGTTTTCTTTTTTTTTTTTTTTCAGATGGATTCTCACTCTGTTGCCCAGGCTGGAGTGCAGCGGTGCGATCACCGCTTACTGCAACCTCTGCCTCCTGGGTTCAAATGATTCTCCTGCCTCAGCCTCCTGAGTAGCTGGGATTACAGGTGCGTGCCACCACACCCAGCTAATTTTTGTATTTTTAGGAGAGAGAGGGTTTCAACCATGTTGGCCAGGCTGGTCTCAAACTCCTGACCTCAGGTGATCCACCCTCCTCAGCCTCCCAAAGTGCTGGGATTACAAGCATGAGCCAAGGAGAGTTGACATTTTAACAACACTGAGTTTCTGACCCATGAACAGAGACTCTGTGTCTCTGTGTCTCTATGTGTCATCTTTAATTTCTCTTAGTAGAGTTTTGGGTTTTGTTTATTTGTTCTTATGTCTTTTAAGATATAGGATCGCTGTTGCCCAAGCTGGAATACAGGGGTATGATCATAGTTCACTGCACCCTTGACCTCCTGGGGTCAAGTGATCCTCCAGCTTCAAGTAGGTGGGACTACAGGTGCGTACCATCACACCTGACTCTGGTATAACTCTTTTTTTTTTTTTTTTTTTTGATACGAAGTCTCACTCTGTTGCCCAGTCTGTAGTGCAGTGGCACAATCTCGGCTCACTGCAGCCACTCCGCCTCCTGGGCTCAAGCGATTCTCCTGCCTCAGCGTCCTGAATAGCGATTCTCCTGCTTCAGTGTCCTGAGTCCAGGCACCCACCACACCCAGCTAATTTTTTTTGTATTTTAGTAGAGATGGGGTTTCACCATGTTGGCCAGGCTGGTCCCAAACTCCTGGCCTCAGGTGATCCTCTCACCTCGGCCTCCCAAAGTGCTGGGATTACAAGTGTGAGCCACCACACCTGGCCTGTGGTATAACTCTCTGAACATATATTAAACAGTTATGGTAACCTTTCACGTCCTTCCCTGCTCGTTCTAACATCGTGTCTGTGGTGGGTGACTTTGATGATTTATGTTTCTCCCCTGATGCACCATATTATCCTGCTTCTTTGCATGCATAGTGATTTTCACCAGATCGCAGGCATTGTGAATTTTAGCTGTTGGAAGCTGGATATTTTTGCAGTCTTATAAATATTCTTGAGTTTTGTTCTGGGACACAGTTACTTTTAGATTCACTTTTAGATATTTTAGATGGGACCAGCATAGCTCTTCTCCGAGGCTGATTATTTCTCATTCCTGAGGCAAGGCTGTGTCTCTGCCCTACCCAGTGCCCCCAAATCCTGAAGTTTCCCACTCTGGCTGTGGGAATGGGCACTATTCCTGGCCCTGGAGGAGCAGCAGGCACTTGTCCCTCTCATCCTTTTGGATGGCTGTTTACCCAGCTTTGGCTGGTCTCTTCCCATGCATGTGCTGGGCAGTGCTTGGCTGAGCTCTTGGCTGAGTTCTTGGGGGAAATTCCCTCACCATCCCTGGAATGTTCTATGGGCAGCTCTCTCCTCTCCCATCCTCTGTCCTACCGCTGTGTTCTCAAGGGCACTGTGCTTCACCTCAGCTCCCTAAGTCCTGCTGGATTCTGCCTAAATTGCCCCCCGTCCAGTCAGTGGCCTGGAAACGCAAGCTGGTAAGCCAGGAAGGTGGCAGCTTGCTTCCCGTCGGGGCTCGCTGCCCTCTGCTGAATGACGCCTGGTGTTTTGCTAAACATGGTTGATATTTTGACTCTGTGTTTTCATTGTTTTGACAGGAGCAAGAATCTGGTTCCTGTTGCTCCATCTTGTTCCGAAGCAGAAGTCCAAGTTTTTTTTTTTGAACTTAGTGATGTTTCTTAGGTAGAGTTTGTGCTGTTTTGACTCATTTGTGAACACCCACAAAGCAGCTGAAAAGCGTTTGGGTGGAGAATGTGTGTGCTGGAGTCAGCGTAGTAGCCAGTTTAACTTCCTGAGAAATTTTCTTCCTAGAGCAATTAGACTTTTCCTTTTTTCCCTTAAGAGACACCGGCTCTGGAGTGCTGCGACACTATCATAACTCACTGACGGCAGGGCACGGTGGCTCACGCCTGTGATCCCAGCGCTTTGGGAGGTCAAGGCTGGCAGATCACCTGAGGTCAGGAGTTCAAGACCAGCCTGGCCAACATGGCGAAACCCCATCCCTGCAAAATTACACAAATTAACTGGATATGATGGTGGGTGTGTGTAATCCCAGCTACTCGGGAGTCTGAGGCAGGAAAATCACTTGAACCTGGGAAGCGGAAGTTGCAGTGAGCCAAGATCACGCCACTGCACTCCAGCCTGGGCAACAGAGCGAGACTGTCTCCAAAAAAAAACCAGCTCACTGCAGCCTTGAAGTCCTGGGCCCAAACTATCCTCTTAACTCAGCCTCTTGAGTAGCTGGGATCCCAGGGATGCACCACCATGCCTGGCTAATTTTTAAAAAATTTTGTAGAGATGGGGTCTTGCTATGTTGTCCAGGCTGATCTTGAACTCCCGACCTCAAGTGATCCTCCTGCCTCAGCCTCTCAAGGTGCTGGGATTACAGGCATGAGCCACCAAGCCCAGGTTCCCTTTTGTTTTTACGGAAGTTCCTTTTAGTGGGATCCTTTCTTAGGGGAGGAAAGGGAAAATGATGCCCTAGGTTCACGTGGTGCACTCAGAACCTCCCCTTCTTCCAGAGTGGGTCACTTCCTCCCAAGACTTTAGAGGCTCTGCCTAGCTGTTGTAATGGTTGTGTGGTATTCTGCCTGCAGAGGGCATTCCATTTATTAGCATGATGTCGCAGTCAGCATCCCTGGAGAGACATCTGTGCACATCTTCCTGTAGGAAACAATTCCTGGGTTGGGCTGGGTGCAGTGACTGACGCCTGTAATCCTAGCACTTTGGGAGGCTGAGGTGGGTGGATCACAGGTCAGGAGTTCGAGACCAGCCTAACCAACATGGCAAAACCCTGTCTCTACTAAAAATACAGAACTTAGCTGAACATGGTGGCGGGCACCTGTAATCCCAGCTGCCCAGGAGGCTGAGGCAGGAGAATCGCTTGAACCCAAGAGGTGGAGGTTGCAGTGAGCCATGATTGCGCCACTGCACTCCAGTTTGGGAGACAGAGCGGGACTCCGTCTCAAAAAAATAAATAAATAAATAAGAAAAACAATTCCTGCGCAGGAATGGCTGCTCAGAGTGTGCAGGCTTAGGTACTGGTGGCTACTGTGTGGCTCCACTTTTGAACCCCCTCGTCCCCAGGAAGGACTTTATGGTCCTCTGCCTCTGTGGTGAGTGGAGACGCCAAGCCGAAGGAAGAGGCACTTCTGAAGCACTTGCCAAATGAGGCAGCCGGCCCAGTGGTGGGGCCACACTCCCGGGACCCACGTGGCACAGCCGCAACCTGCTTCTGTTTTTCACTAGATCCAGACAAAGACGGTGGCTCAGTGTGTAGAGTATTATTACATCTGGAAAAAAATGATCAAGTTTGACTGTGGCCGAGCCCCAGGGCTAGAAAAGAGGGTCAAGAGAGAGCCAGAGGAGGTGGAAAGGACAGAGGAAAAGGTAGAGTAACCGGGGCAGGGGCAGGAGCTTGTCTGTCCTCCTGGTGCCTGTGCCCGCTGCCCCTTGAGTTAGAGGGTGGGGTCAGAAGGCGGGGGTGCTTCTGACGGTAGTGTTTCCTTGCAGGAGACCTGTGTGCCCTCAGCTCTGTGTCTCCCTTCCAGCAGGACAGATCAGCACCCTTATGTCACTCTTGCTTCTTCTGCAGGTCCCATGCAGCCCTCGGGAGAGACCCAGCCACCATCCAACTCCTGAGTTAAAGATAAAGACCAAGAGTTACAGGAGGGAGTCTATCCTCAGCTGCAGCCCAGACGCAGGCCCCAAGCGGACCCCCGAGCCATTGGGAAGCGCGGAGAGCCAGGGCATTTTTTCCATGCAGAGAGTGTGAAAGGTACCCAGCTTTCTCCTGGAGATGCTCCCAGGGCTCCTGGCCTCACCCTGTGATCCCTTCTTCTGGGTGACCCCCAGTCCTCTGGTGACTCCTCAGGGTGTTTGACAAGATCAAGAGTCGAAATGCCCACATGAAGCGGCACCGCCTTCAGGACCACGTGGAGCCCATGGTGAGGGTGAAGTGGCCGGTGAAGCCCTTCCAGCTGAAGGAGGAGGAGCTGGGGGCTGACATCGGGCCCCTGCAGTGGTGATTCCTGTGGGAGCAAGTCCAAATGGGACCTCTGGTGCTGCCCCTCCTCCCTTTGGGCTCTCGGAGTGTTTGGGGGTCCCCCTGCCTTCCCCCACCTTCCCCATCCCCCGTTGGCTAACCTGCCTGCAAACGTGGTGGGCATTTGACCACAGGTAGGCAGGAGGAGCCCGTCATTGGACAGCTCTACAGCCCCTGTCCAGTGGTGCCCAAGGCTCCACTCTCCTTAGGTTCACACTCTCCCCTTCTTTCCCTTGCACTTCTAGAGCAGGGAGGCTTGGCAGGGGGGAAAGTTAGCTCTGGGTAGCTCTTAAATCTCAGCCTCAGTTGTGGGGTTTGGTTTCGTGTGTTAGATAAGGCCAAGAAGTAGAGAATCAGTGGGAAAAAACCTTGAGATCGCCAACGAGCTGGGCCCTCCCCGGGGCGGGGGCTCTGCCTTCCGGATTCGGTCCCTAGTCTTGCGGTGACTTGTGCATTGTTTGGAGTTTTTTGTATGTGTCTACTTGCAAATCTGATTAAATTGAGTTCTTGAGCCACTGTCTTTGACTTCCCTGCCTGTTGATCCAATAAAGGCTTAGCGGGCCCCGCCACGTGCTAAGGCCAGGAGGTGAGTCACCTGCGGCCTCACTCCCAGCCTCCCTTTTTAAGAGTGAGTGAGGAAAACTAACCACTCCCAGCAGATGCCCGTATGTCTCACTGAGCCTGTGTTGGCTTCTAAACTGATCCCTGGCAGTGAGAAGGAAAATGACTACAGTTAGCCCAGACCACTCAAGACACACCTCCGTGGCTGGGCACAGTGGCTCACACCCTTATTCCAGCACTTTGGGAGGAGAACGAAGGCAGGTAATTTGAGATAAAGAGTTCAAAACTAGCCTGGCCAACATGGTGAAACCCCATCTCTACTAAAAATACAAAAATTAGCCAGGTGTAGTGGTGGGCGCCTGTAGTTCCAGCTACTCAGGAGGCTGAGGCATAAGAATGGCTTGAATCTGGAAGTCGGAGGTTGCAGTGAACCGAGATTATGGCATTGCACTCCATTTCCAGCCTGGATGACACAGCAAGAACCTATCTCAAAAAAAAAAAAAAAAAAGGCCAATAAACAACAGGCCAGGGATGGTGGCTCATACCTAAAGTCCCAGCACTTTGGGAGGCTGAGAAGAAAGGACCATGTGAGCCCAGGAGTTTGAGACTATCAACATAGTGAGACCCCATCTCTATTTAAAAATATATATAGGCTGTAATCCCAGCACTTTGGGAGGCTGAGTTGGACAGATCACCTGAGGTTCAGAGTTCCAGACCAGCCTGGCCAATATGGTGAAGCTTTGCCTCTCCTAATGATATAAACATTAGCTGGGTGTGGTGGCAAATGCCTGTACTCCCAGCTACCCAGGAGGCTGAGGCAGGAGAATCCCTTGATCTCAGGAGGTAGAGGTTGCAGTGAGCCAAGATCACACCACTGCACTCCAGCCTGGGTGACAGAGCGAGCCTCTGTCTCAAAAATAAATAAATAAATAAAAATATATGTAGGCCGGGTGCAGTGGTTCATGCCTATAATCCCGCCACTTTGGGAGGCCAAGGTGAGTGGATCACCTGAGGTCAGGAGTTTGAGACCAACCCGGCCAACATGGCGAAACCCCATCTCCACTAAAAATACAAAAATTATCTGGGTATGGTGGTGTGTGACTATAATCCCAGCAACTTGGAAGGCTGAGGTAAGAGAAGTACTTGAACCCACTCCAGCATGGGTCAGAGACTTATCAATGGCTCACCCATCATGGGGAGGTGGTCAACAAAAGGATAGATGGAGGCTGGCAGGGCGAGTTTGAGCCTGAGCAGCTGAGTCAATGGCATTAGCTCAGATGGGGAATTGATTGCAGAGGATTGGTTGCATCAGGGTGTGATCATGCCTATGATAGGGTGTGCTGTGTTCTGAGGGGCTGAGAAAGTAGATGGCAGGGTCAGAGGGTTTCATAGAGGGTCCACCTATCAGCTAAGGCTTAAAGATTGAGAGGGATGGAGAGAGAGGTGGACACTGAGTTTTCAGCAGTTGGAGCACTGCAGTTAAGGGAAAGGGCTCAGGCATAAGATGAACCTGAATTCCAGCCTGGCTCCTCTTACCTCCTTGTAACCTACCGTGAATCACTTTCTCCTGTGGGAGCCTCAGTTTTCTCAGTGTGTAAAATGGGATGAAAATTGCCCTTCCTCAATGTTAGAAACAAGATGCTTGTTCCTTGGTGCCGCAAGGAAAAATGAGCATTCAGACAAAAAGTTTTCTCAGCAAGGCAATTTGACTTTCTGCAGAAAGGGTACTGCCCGTCAGCAATCTTGTCATGAGAGCACACTGCACAAAGAACTGCGGGAATATTTATCCCTTACACATTGGGTCCTTACTGCTGTGTCCCATCTCCTCACAGTCTAAGCTAAACCCGATTGGCTAACAACTTAAACTTTTCTAAATAGATAAAAGCAATAGAGAACAAAGGGGAAAGAGGAAGTTACTTGCTAAAGGACTTAGAAAAGTGATGTTTCCAAATAAGGAAAAGGCATATGCTGTGAGCTGGGACATGCCTGCCTGTGCATGTCCAGAACAAATATCCTGGTTAAAGTACAAGGACATAGAATGTACTTATTCCCTTATATCTAACAGCTACATAGGATAGGGCTTAACAAAGACTTATTAGCAAAAACAGACAAACAAAAAAACAAGAAGGCTTTGAAGGAAGTCAATCTTTAAAAAGACACTATTATTTCTAACATTTATTTATTCTTTAATAAGAAGGGAAACTTTGAAGAGGAACTTTTGCTTTCCACACTCAACCCCTGCCTCCTATCACTTAAATAAAATGTAAATTATGGCTGGATGCCGTGGCTCACGCCTGTAATCCCAGCAATTTGGAAGGCTGAGGTGGGCAGATCACTTGAGGTCAGGAGCTTAAGACCAGCATGGCCAACATGGTGAAACCCCATCTGTACTAAAAATACAAAATACCAAAATTAGCCAGGTGTGGTTGTACACCCCTGTAATCCCACCTAGTTGGGTGGCTGAGGCACAAGAATTGCTTGAATCTGGAGGTGGAGGTTGCAGTGAGCAGAGATCACACCACTGCACTCCAGTCTGGGCAACAGAGTGAGATTCCATCTCAAAAGAAATAAGTACATAAAAACAAATCAAATGAAATGTAAATTAAGTACTTGGCAGGGTGCACAGTAAGAACTGAACAGCTACAAGTTAACAAGCTCTCACGCGATTGCTAATATTGTTTGGATCCCATCCGAAATAAATCCGATGAGCTCTGGGAATGAAAGCTTCTGGTTGAAAAGACTGAGGGGTATAATATTTATCTCTTGCAGCATGACAAATTACCCTGAAATGGAACAGCTTAAACAGAAGCTTTTACATAGTGCTGCTCTGATAGACACGGAACCGAGACTGCTTGTGGTCATCCAGGCTCACCCCCACCTGCTCTGTGGTCAGCATACAATGGGAACCACAAGAGGGCGGTCTGGGCAAGTCCATCCAGGTATGAAGGGAGCTGGGTGAAGGCTTCCTATCTATGCCTTGCTCCACTCAGCCAGCCCCTAGCTAATAGCAGTTTCTCAAACTGTGGTCCCCGGATTATCTGCGTCCTAATTTTACCTTTTTTTTTTTGAGATGAAACAGGGTCTCGCTCTGTCGCCCAGGTTGGAGTGAAGTGGTACAATCATAGCTCACTGCAGCCCCGAACTCCTGGGGTCCAACAGTCCTCTCCCACCTCAGCCTTCCAAGGAGCTGGGTGCATGCCATCACACCCAGCTTATTTACAATTTTTTTATTTTGTAGAGATGGGGTCTTGCTTTGTTGCCCAGGCTGGTCCGTAACTCCTAGGCTCAAGCGGTCCTCCTGCCTGGGTCTCCCAAAGTGCTGGGATTACAGGTGTGAGCCACCAGGCCTGACGGCATCCTAATTATATGGGGTTCTGTTTTCTTTTTTAAAAATGCAGATTTCACGGCTGGGCGCGGTGGCTCATGCCTGTAATCCCAGCACTTTGAAAGGCCAAGGCGGATGGATCACTAAGTCAAGAGATAAAGACCATCTTGGTCAACATGGTGAAACCCCGCCTCTACTAAAAATACAAAAATTAGCCAGGCGTGGTGGCACACACCTGTAGTCCCAGCTACTTGGGAGGCTGAGGCAGGAGAATTGCTTAAATCTGGGAGGTAGAGGTTGTGATGAGTGGAGATCGTGCCATTGCACTCCAGCCTGGGAAACAAGAGCAAAACTCCATCTCAAAAACAAATTTTTTTCTGTGGCTCACCAGAGATTCAGAATTTTAACCATTGTGGGTACAGCCATGGAACCTGTTTTATTTAAAGAAGATTTTTAGAATAGTTTTAGATTTGTAGAAAAATTACAAAAACAGCAAAAAAATCCCATATACCCCAGTTTCCCCTATGATTATATCTTATATTAGAATAGTACATTTATGACAATTAGTGAACCAATATGGCACGATATTACTAAGTACCATGCTTTATTTAAATTTCCTTAGTCTTTTTTTCGAGATGGAGTCTCACTGTCGCCCAAGTTATAGTGCAAATCTTAGCTCACCGCAATCTCCACCTCCCAGGTTCAAGCAATTCTTCTGCCTCAGCCTCCGGAGCACCTGGGACTACAGGCACCCGCCACCATACCCGGCTAATTTTTGTATTTTTAGTGAAGGGTTTCGTCATGTTGGCCAGGCTGATCTCAGGTGATCCACCCGCCTAAGCCTCCCAAACTGCTGGGATTACAGGCGTGAGCCACCACGCCTGGCTGGCTTTTTAACCCAATGCCCTTCTGTTCCAAGATCTCACCCAAGCAAAGACATTACACTTAGTAGTCTCGTCTTCTTGGCTGTGTCGGTTTCACAGACTTTCCTTTTGATGACTTGACAGTTTTGTTTACTTGTTTTAGACAGAGTCTCATTCTTGTTGCCCAGGCTGGAGAGTAGTGAGGTGATCTCACCTCACCGCAACGTCCACCTCCCAGGTACAAACAATCCTCCTGCCTCAGCCTCCCAAGTAGCTGGGATTACGTGCACACACCACCATGCCCGGCTAAGTTTTGTGTATTTTCAGTGGAGACAGGGTTTCCCCATGTTGGACAGGCTGGTCTCAAACTCCCGGCCTCAAGTGATCCTCCTGCCTTGGCCTCCCAAAGTACTGGGATTATTGGTGTGACACAACGCGGCCACCAACAGTTTGGAGGAGTACTATGCAGATATTTTGGAGGATGTGGCTCAACTGGAATTTGTCTAGAGTGTTTTTTTTATGCTTAGATTGGAAGGTCCCGGAAGTAAAAACCCTTCTTTGTTTTTGTTTTGTGAGGCAGAGTCTCACTCTGTCTCCCAAGCTGGAGTGCAGTGGCACGATCTCGGTTCACTGCAACGTTTGCCTCCCGGGTTGAAACGACTCTCCTGCGTCAGCCTCCTGAGCACCACGCCCAGCTAATTTTTTGTATTTTTAGTAGAGATGGGGTTTCACCGTGATTAGCCAGGATAGTCTCGATTTCCTAACCTCGTGATCCACCCACCTTGGACTCCCAAAATGCTGGGATTATAGGCCTGAGCCCCCGCGCCTGGCCTATTTATTTATTTTTTGGGACGAAGTCTCACTCTGTCGTCCAGGTTAGAGCGCAGTGGCGCGATCTCGGCTCACTGCAACCTCTGCCTCCACAGTTCAAGTGATTCTCCTGCCTCAGCCTCCCGAGTAGCCAGGATTACAGGCGTGCACCACCATGCTGGGCTCCTATTTGTATTTTAGTAGAGACAGGGCTTTGACATGTTGGCCTGGCTGAAGTGATCCGCCCGCCTCGGCCTCCCAAAGTGCTGGGATTACAGGCGTGACCCACCGCGCCCGGCCCTCTTCAGCTACTTTTTCTGAAGCCAGAGAGTTAAAGGATCTCTAAAGTTTTTGTTTCCCGTCTCTGAACTACTTCACTGGTCTCCCCGAAGCAGTTCCAGTATTGGCCGGGAGAGGGAGCAAAAACAAAAAGTAGTCCTGTTTCCTTTTCCTCCAAACGGCTTTCCCAGTGAAGAAACCCGCGAAACTAACCGAGGGGGCGGGACTAAGCTCTGCGCAGAGCCGTCAAATCCGGGCGTGGACCCCGAGCTGTCACGTGAGTGTCCGCGGTCAGCTGACTGCGCCGGACTTCCGCGGCGGGGGGCGCACAACGCGAGTCGAGGGCTTCTGCTGATTGGTGAAGGAGGATTCAGCTTCAGCACCGTGGGGCGGGGCCTCGGCGGTGCGAACTGCCATTGCCTTCCGCCGTTGCCTTCCGCAGGGGCACCGTTCGCGGGTGTGTGCGCATGCGTTGAGGTCTCGGGACGCCAATTGGGGGGTCTTGAGTCACTGGCGGCGTGCGGCAGGTTGGGGCGTGGTCGCCGGAGCGGGCGCCGCGCTACGAGGCCGCTGGTTGGCCAGCGCGAGTCACGTGGTTCCGGGCTGCAGCAGCGCGCACCGGTGCGACGTCAACGCAGCAGGTCGAGCTTTCCCGACCTGTTTTCCGCGGCCCGGCCGCGGCTGAGTCCTCCCAGGGTCGGGGTTGAGCGCCTTGTTGAGTCTCTTTGTAGTCGCCATGGACAATTCCGGGAAGGAAGCGGAGGCGATGGCGCTGTTGGCCGAGGCGGAGCGCAAAGTGAAGAACTCGCAGTCCTTCTTCTCCGGCCTCTTTGGGTGAGAACCGGGCTCAGGGGTCGGCCGGGACCTAGGGTGAGAGGACGAAGGAGTCACGGCCGGAGGCGGCGGGTTAGGCACGCAGGGCTCGGGCCGAGGGGACGGAGAGGAACCTGGAATGAGGTGATATGGTCTGAGGCGGCAGAGGGGACACAGACTGAGGGCCAAGGGCTCGGGCCGGGGCAACACGGTTTGAAGAGAGACGGTCTGACATGGCGGAAGGGACATGGGCTGAGGACACACGGGCCAAGGCGACACTGTCTTGAGGCGAGAAAGGGGACTCAGGCCAAAGACAGGCCAGGGGGCCGAGGGAGAACCTGGACCGAGGGAATACGTCCTGAAGCTTTGGAGGGGACTGGCCTGGGGGGGACGGAGGGAATCCGGGAGAGTAGGCAGGTCGGAGGCCTTTCGGAGCTCTAGGGGCATCTGTCTGAAGGCTCTCAGGCGGCGTGATGGGTCCTGGGACTGAGGACGCCCTGCCCGAGGGACTGACCTTTCCAGTCCCCCAGGGCAGTGGATTTGTGGGGGGTCCTGGGCAGTAAGGGTGATGGCTGAAGGAGGCTGACACCAGACGGAGGGTCTCGGGAATTTGGTGATCCTAGGAGTGGTGAAACACATCTGAAGTGTGTGTTGGGGGGTGCCTAGGTTGAGTCCGGCCCTGGTTAGCAGTGACTAAAGACAGCTGAACCAGGGAACCCGCATGATGGAGCCAAGAGTGAGGAGGTCCCAATACTTTGGGAAGCCGAGGTGGGCAAATCACTGAGGTCAGGAGTTGGAGACCAGCCTGACCAACGTAGTGAAAACCCTTCTCTGCTAAAAATACAAAAACTAGCTGGGCCTGGTGGCTGGTGCCTGTTATCCCAGCTACTCGGGAGGCTGATGCAGGAGAATCACTTGAACCCAGACGGCAGAGGTTGCAGTGAACCGACATCACACCGTTGCACTCCAGCCTGCGTGACAGTACGAGACTGACTCCATGTCAAAGAAAAACAAAAAGACTGAGGAGGCCTGGGTTGAGGCTAAAGACTCCTGGGTGGGGGAACACATGGTGGTGGCTTGGCCAAGGAGATGGAGGGGTAACAGGGCGAGACAGAGGGACAGAAAGAACCAAAACGGGGGATCAGAGGCCTGCTGTGTGATCCTCAAGTAATGGTGATGATGATGACAGGGACATGGTGAGAAGACGGATGGGAAGAGGCTTGGGAGACAGAACTAATGCATATGGCATGGCATAAAACTCGCATTCGCTCCTAAAAGCGACACAGCCATCCTCTGAGAAATTCTAGTGGCTTAGGAGTGTCAAGAGGCCAGGTTTGAAATGTGGCTCTGCCACTTCATGACCTTGGGTAAATTGTTCAGTCTCCCCATTAAAGGAGACCTCGAACCAAACCTACCTGCGATTTGCTGTATTAGGATTGAGCCTGGCATGGAGTTAACGTCTCTGAACATGTTAGCTGTTGTTAATGTGACTTTCCAGAAGGAACAGATTTGGAGCGTGCAGAGGGATGAGGGGTTCAAAGTTAGTGTGAGCGGAGAGGTCTGGGAGGGGTCAGAAGAGGGAGAGATGGAGAAGCATGAGTTTGCTAAGAGGAGCTGAAATAAAACACAAGAGGGACCCAGGAGGACTTAATAGGGTGGAGAGGCACATGAGACTCTGGGCAGAGGAAGTAGAAGGGAGCTGGGGAGGGTTTGGCAGGGGGTGGGAGGTGGGGAGTGAGATCTGCGCTGATGGGGGGTCCTGAAAGGATCAAGGGGAGGCTGTGGGAACAGAGAGGAGGCTTGGGAAAGGACTAGTGGGCTTGTAGAGAGGATGATGTGTGGTAGCCACTCAGAAGCAGAGCCTGGGGAAGGTGGTAGGACTGGGAGCGTCTGCAGAAGGCTGGAGAAGGGGGTTGGGGGGAGGGCCTGGGGATCGGAGGAGACCATGGTAGGAAGCTGGCAGAGGCTGGTAAGACACGAAGTGGAGGGATCTTTCCAAGAGAGGAAAGAACGGGAAAAGGCTCTGGGCCTCGCCCCTTGTTTGAGGTTGGATAATGTTTAGCAAAAGAACTTGAAGAACATGACCGGGAATTGCCTGGTGTGGGGAAACATCCGGGGCTGATGGACCATATTGATTAGGTGAAAAATGTTTTCTTTTAGAGGCTGAGAGGAGGGAGAGGGGGTATGTGTGTGTTTTCTTCATAAGGGGAGAAGTTCAAGTGCTGTGTTTGGGGGTGGGACCACGAGCTGGGTTTTTGGTGATGGTTTTCCTGGGTGGCTCTGAGTGTCTGTTCCCTTTGGCCCAGGGATTGGTGGGTACTGGACCGTGTGCTTGGAGGGAGCAGCTAAGTCAGCCCCAGGGCACTTGCTACCTGGTTGGGAAGGCAAGATGAACACCAAACACTAGTAAAGCAGAATTACGGTAAGGAAGGCCTCGATTATGTCATCCGTGTGAATGGCTGAGCTGAGAGGAAGCAGCGGGAGCTGCATGGAGGCTTCTGGTGAGGAGTGAGCTAGGCCCCAGGGAACGCCCAGGACTTGCTAAGGGAGTGGGGCCGGGGAGGGTGCTCTAGGCAGCAGGGATGGTGCTGCCGAGGTCTAGCGTGAGGAGACGTTCTGCCTGGAAAGACGGGGAACTGAAATCCAGAGGGACCAGAAATGGCTTCCTGGGGGAGAGGGCCCAATCCTGGGGAATGAACAGGAGTTCTGGGGTGCTCTCTGGTATGGAGGAAGTGTGACTGAGCATGCCTTAGGAAGACGAAACACAGAGAGTTCCATGTTAGACCGTAAAGGTGGAAGCGGCACGTAAGGCCAGACAACGAAGGCCTCGTGAGCAAGGACTGGGCCTGGAGGAGTCACTGCAGAGCCCCAAGGAGGCTAAGGGAGGCCCATCCTGGAGGGTTCCCGTTTGCCTTCTAGAAAGGACTGCAGCAGCTGGTATGGGGGAGAGTGACAGCAGGAGGCTGCTGCAGTGCCAGTAATACTAGCACATGCTGGTTACTAAGTGCTCACTCTGACTCAGGCCCAGGCCTGGGCCAGGCTCTACCTGCTGATGGATCGGATAGATTTAGTCCGCACAAAATCTCCAGGAAGGTAGAGAAAGCCGGGGGCTTAGGAGAAGTGACTCTTTGCCCAGCCCCACAGTAAGTGGGAGAGGCAGCATTCAAACCCAGTTCTGTGTGATTCCAGAGCCTTCTCGCTTAGCCCCTTTGCTGTGCCACCACAGTAGTTTCTCCTGAAGGTTCGTGACCATCTCTGGGCACTACACTCAGGAAGGATGTTGGCAAACTGGGTGTGTTGGAGAGCCGCCACCCTCCTAAGTGTCCCCATGGCAGTTTACTCCAAATATTTGAAAGACAGAGCTGGTCGTTCATCCCAGTTCCTTCCAGCTCCAAGCAGAGCTGACCTACGCTCTGGTGCTATGGGGGTGTGAGTGAGGTGAGGGTGGAGGGCAGGGAGGATGGGAGGCTGGCCTGACTAGAGCTCGTGTGCCTGGGAACGGGGAGCACAGCCAGAGGCCAGCTGGGGAGGACCTGCTGGCTGGGTGGGACTCACTCAGGCTCCTCCTCCTCTCTGATCTGAGTTTGCCTGTGTTCAGCATTTCATAACCCACCTTTATTCACGGTCCTTGGTAGCTGCCGGTACTGGAGAAGGGAGTGTTGGGGTTCAGCTTGTCCTTGGTGCCTCTCTTTTCCCTTTTGGGCACCCCAGCAATGACAGCACCCCACATTGAGGGGCCTCTGGTCCTGCCAAAGGGCAAGTCCAATAGCCTCACCCGGGCCGCAAGGCAGTGGGCGTCAGTGCTGCCGCCTGCCTTGGTGCTCAGATGCTGCCCTCGCTCTTCATTACTTCCGGGCTGCCAGATGCTAGGGGGCTTTGACGCACCAGCAGCCACCGAGGGCGACGGCACCAGCCAGTTAGGAGAAGCTCAAAGCCATTCCCGTTCCTCCCTTTGGTGATGGGGGAGCCGCTCAAACTTCTGCTCTGGAAGCAAAAAGACGGAGACTTTGTAACTCCAGCACGGTGAGCCAGCGGCAGAGGGAGACGCTGAGTCGGGCGCACCAGTCCCCCTCCCTGCTGTGTGTCTCCTGGTGAATCCGGAGTGCCTTCTGTGCCCTGAGGGGATTGTGCAGGTTCTGAATGGCAGCTCTGTTCCTTGGGGCTTTTCCTCATCCCTGATGTCTCCCGGCCACCTCCACTGGCCCCAAAACAACCAAAATGAAAACTTCTTTGCTCTTGGATACACACGTGTAGAGGGAGTGTCTTCATCTGTGAAGCGAAGAGCATAGTCCTCTCTGTTTCCTCAAGTGGTTCTAGGGATACATGAGACGCTGCGTGGGAAGTGGTACGGCACGGTGCCTGGCTAAGCTGATGCTCACTAATGGCTCACTATCGTCCTCACTTACGTATTGTCATAGGAAGTTGAGCTGGAAGCGCTGGAGAAATAGGTGGCAGGGTGTTCTGTGTAGAAACTGCATTCCTAAAGTCAGATCTTGACAAATCAATTCCTGTTTCAGCCGCCAGCTTGCCTGTGCAGGGCCTGCCCAGGGTCTTGGCGGAGACTGGTGCGAGCATGAGCTTCCAGATGTCCCTCCAGACGCCTTCCTCTGCAGAGCGTGCGGAAACACCAGCGCCATTTCCAGTGGCACCCTGGTGAATCACAGTGCCCTGCCATTGCCAAGATCCACAACTGAAAACTTGGCATCTCTTGCCCAGTCTCAGAGTGGAGTCTTTCCTGAGGGCACACAAGGTTCCTGGGGAATCCGAGAGTCCCTGGCTTTCCTGCTGGATGGGACTTTGATGCCTGGCTGTGCAAACATTTCCGTCTCCTCTTTGGGAAGGGGCTACTGAGAGACAGGGGTCTTTGAGAACACCTTTTAAGAAAAAGGAAGCACATTAGCCCTTGGGCTGTGGTGAAGTGTAATCCCATTGGCATCTAGGAAGGCATCCATATAAGAAAATAAGACAGGCCATGTGGCCAGTGAGGTCCTGGCTCTGAGCCTGTCATCTTGAAGGGCTAT